AATAAGTCTCAATGCTGAACATGAATTTCCACCGAGGTCATGTGATATTACGCCGTGTGATTTCTTTTTGTGGCCTTACCTTAAAAACACTATTTTTGAACTGCCTATTCCTGATTTAAACCATCTGCAGGCTCGACTTATAGACAAGATTCGTGAAATTAACAATACCCCGAGCATCTTAGAAAATGTCTTTAATTCTTTGAGGAACAGGTGTGAAAAGTGCTTGGAACAAGGAGGGGGACACTTTCAGCAGCTGCTTTAATTTATTGTTATAACAAGGAGGGGGACACTTTCCGCAGCTCCTTTAATTGTTTGTTATTGTTATCACGATTATTCTTTAAAATAAAGTTATATAGTCATTAACGTTATTGAAACTGACAGCTGCTATACAGCTCGTTGAGAAATGAGGTTAAATTGGTCGCTATAAGCTACTCCCTACGTCCAATGTGTCAGAGCCAACTTCGACCACGTTTTTATTTGAACGCTCGTTATAACTTTAAATTTTTTATTAAGAACGTGACGACTACAATAAATCAACCTAAGAGATGAATAAGCTTTTTGTTGTAGTGATTTAACATGCTCATCAAATCGCAACTTACAGTCAAGAATTACTCCTAAATTTTTTGCATGGCTAGTAATGGGAACTGGAATACCATCTTAAAATTCGCAAATCTTTTTCACTACCAAAAAACAAAACTTTCGTCTTACTCGAGTTCAATTTAAAATTATGCTCATCCGATAACAATTTTATAGTTTGCAACTCAGAGTTGATGACGTTATTTGCCTGTCGAAAATCATTAATATTAAAATGAAAATAAAGTTGAGTATCATCGGCATATGTTTGAAGTTTGCATTGATGAACAGATTCTAAAATGTTGGCAGTATAAATTATGAAAAGCAGGGGACCCACAATAGAACCCTGAGGAACACCAGAGAGAATTTCTAAACTGGTAGATAAAATATTATCAATACGCATACTCTGGGATCTTCCATGTAAATAAGATTTAATTAGTGTGAGTGAATCATTATCAAATGCATAATATTTGAGTTTAGAACACAAAAGCTTAAGATTACATATATAAAGGCCTAGAGAAATCCAATAAAGCCAATACGCTAACTAAACCCATATCTCGTATTTCTCGTCTTAAAAATATTAGTTTATGTTCTGCATGCATACCCCATTTTATTAATTTATTATTAATGCATACCCATTTATTATTATTATTATTATAATTATTATTATTATTATTATTATTATTATTATTATTATTATTATTATTATTATTATT